AGAGAGACCCAGATTGAATTGAAATCTTAATACAGCAATTTAGTTCACTGGTGAACTACATTTGACTTAATTTTTCATAAGGTTGAGAAAAAAAATGCAATATTGTAAATGGTTAACATCAGCTGTAACTGTTAGGTCTTCTTCACTGCAGGTACTTGAGGGCCAACAAATGAGGCACACGAAAAGCAATCCTAAAAATCTTTTTAATGCCACTTCTCGGAAAGCAACATTTATTTTTAAATAGGCATATGCTTGTTGATCATATGTTCTCGACATATTAAAAAAAAGTCAGATTTAGCCCGAGATGTGTGCTAGAAAGAAGAAAGGCTGGAATATTGCATGCCACACTGCTTCTACTTGCCCACATCTTAATTCTCAAACAACTTTATTACAGATGTACTACTTCCAGCATTAAAACCACTAATAGAAATTCAATTTTTATTGTGTACTATACATAAAGAAAAATATATTTTCACAGAATATAATCCAACAAAGCAAGACATAACAGAGACAAAAGAAATGCAGAGGAATTTTTATGGGAATAAAGAACTGTTTTGAAACAGAGAGAGTGGGGATAAACAAGGGGCTTCTATGTGAAGTGAACAGATGCTAGGAAGGGGAATTTTAGATATCAGTATGGTAGTTACAGCAATTTGCCCAAGACTAGAATGAAAACAAATGCTCCAAATATTGGTTTTGAAGAAGAAAAATGAATGCAGTCATAAATGCTGTGAGAAAGTTGAAAAATGATCTTGGCTGCATATGTACATGGCATAACTGGAAAAATGTTAAAATGTGGACATTTGTTTATGAAGTGGCTATGTGCTTTCTCACATGTGTGAAGATTGCATCTCTGCCTGATATATAGTTATTCTTTCTCTGTATAATATGAACAAGAGCAAATTAAAAAGCTATGAGGGATTAGTTAAACATGTCTGAGGAAATGTTCGGTTCTGATAGAGTTAACAGAGAACAAAATTTGGACAGTGCAGTGTGGCTTTATGCCAGAAAGCTGGTGCACTGATTAAATTTTTATTCTTCGAGACATGGAAAAATGTACAAATCTATGAAACTTTATTGTACATTTTTGATTCAGAAAAAGCATCAGACAGAATGAACAAATTTGGACTATAGAATGACGCACATCAATATTAAGTGAAAGGTTGATTGAGTTAAAATAAGTATAAGATGGAAGTAAAGTATGTATAAATGGAATGCTGAGCAAAAGGTTCAACATTCAGCAGGAAAAGACAAGGGTGTGTGATGCTCCCACTGCTGTTTAATATATTTGTGTGTACATGTGTGTGTTTGTGTGTGTGTATGAATAAATACATGTGTATGTATATACATGAATAAATGCAAATTCATGTACATTTATTTATGAATAAGAAATACTGCCATTACTTCCATTCAAGGTGGGGACATAAATATACATGTATTCTTTGTGTGGAGACAATACCATGTTATGGCTAAGGATTTAAGTTCTTTCAGAAAAGTATGATTTTGCAAGGGGAATGGATCTAAAAATTAATGTATCAGAAAATCAAGGCAGTTATGAACAATTACAAGTTATACATAAATAGAAAAAAACTAAAGCAAGTAGAGAAATTTGTGTACCTTAGAAGAATGTTTATTAAAATATTTTCAGATGCATAAATGCTAGCAGAAAGGTGTTTAGTAGCATGTTATCTAATGCAGCGGTCCCCAACCCCTGGTCCATGGACCGGCTCCGGTCCACAGCATGCCAGAAATCAGGCCATGCAAATTAGCAAATCTCCATCTGTGGGATACAGGTATAACACAAATCCAAGCTCCATGGAAAAATTCTCTCCACAGAACCAGTCCCTGATGCCCAAAAGGTTGGGGGCCACTGACCTAATGTGAAGAGTGCTATGTGCCAAAAAATAATATTTATCTAGCTTTTGTCCATTTGTTGGATGAGATGAGTTATGTCAGGACAAACATAAAAGTTGAAAGCAGAGAGAATGGAGTATTTGAGAAAGGTGTGCAACTAAGATAAGAATAGAACCAAGAATGAATGGAAACTGAATACATGTTGAATGCAATGCAAAATTGAATGACCAGTATGAAATAAGTCTGATCTGGGAAGAACTATACTATAGATGGGAAAGGTTGAAAAGTCTTAGATGAATTGAATTTATGAGATTATTAGGCCATGTATGAAGTAGCTGAAGTAGTTATGACTTGCAAGGAGAGAAAGATATAGAAAGGTACATAATGTTGGTAAAAAATAAATGTAATTATACTTTTTTTTACTCTCATAATTTAAATTATTTGGGTTATTATTTCTTCAAAAATGCAATGGTTTCATTAAGCTATATTGTTCTTCTGTTTTTTAAAAGATTCATTGTTAAAGTGTTTTAATGTTAATGTTTAAGTATGATATTCTAATGAGACAGCAGTAGCTTAGATTGCTATAACATAGAGGGTCATCTTTTAAATACAGTGCATCCATACATTGATAACAGTAAATTCTACTGTTCCTTATAATTCAGTTCCAAAGACCCTGCAATATTGCCTAAATTCAGTGATGGACAAGACAAAATGCTGTTCGTTAATAAAACAATTGGACACTGGGATGGAGATTCAGCTTTCTAAGATCAAGTTATTATTCCTCCACAATAAATAAATAAATAAAATAAAATAGAGTTTAAGAAGTTATTCCTAATCTTCATTTTGACACTGGATTCATAACTGGAAGTTCTGACAAGATACCTGTTTACCAAATTAAAGCTCTGGAAATTTTGTGATATTTTGCAATAGTTATTCATACCTTTGTTACACCGAGTATTTTTCTAAATTTATGGAAGTTGCAAATGGAAAAAAAATGCATCAAACAATTTATTAAATTCTAGAAGGAATAAAGGTTGAATTGAAATATCAGCCAGCTATTTACTGATTACATGTTGTTCAACTTTAGAATCTGACTATCTGACTACCTTTCCCATTATGAACTTACTCATGCATTAAGATCTACAGGAGAGGCCCTACCCCTGCTGTTGGAGGCTCCTTTATCTGGCATAAGAAGAGTTTTTTCCTGCCTCATTCCTAGATAGTGGAATACATTTGGTCTTATTCTTGCAGCTTTTATGAAATTTATTTCCTTAAAAATTATATGGCCCCCTATCTCTTAAAATACAATTCTGGACAGCTCACATTAATGGTAAAACCAAATACAAAAAAAAGGGAAAAAAAAGGCCTGACCTGCCATCTCCAATCCACTAATACATCCAATCTTTAGACTCCAACCTTATCCTATCCCAGTGCTTGGGGAATTTTCCAGAAGACTAAAAGAGTGGTAGGTCTGCTGGATACTTTCATTTCCCAAATATGAAAATAAATCAAAATGTTTTAATTGTTAATCAGTTTTAATAATTTATGTTTAATATTTAATTTTGCCAAGTTTGTTTTTCTGAACTTTTTCTGTGATTTCAAGTATCTCGGAAGAAGTTTGGCTTCACATATTTTATTAAGCCATGGTGTAATTAACTTTTAAGGAATCATCACTGATTAGACTCACCCAACAGACTTACAATAGTTTGTACAATTATGGATATTTGAATCTAACCAATTTTCACCCTGTATGTACTATTATCTTTAGAATACCATAACTTTACTCCAAACAAAGAGCTTTACTGTATTTAAAAATGTCTGACTGAAATTTTGAAGATTGATTCTGTCAGAAGGCTGCTGTTCTCTGAAATTTAATGCCAGGTGAGCTGTCTTTCCTCAAAGACCTATCCTTGCCAATCAGAATAAACATATGTAGTGGGCAATGAAGCACAACACGTGTTCAATATCTGACTAACTTTATAGTGTCTGTGATGACTCTGATCTTTTTAAATGTTGTAGGACTCCAACCCCTATCAATCCCAGCCAGCATGGGATTAAAGTCCAATCCAATACATAATAATCAAAATCCGATTACCTCTTCTTCTTTTAAATATTCAAATGCATCGTGCAAAAAATAGTGAATTGTGTTGAGTTTCTATTTATCGTTTTTGATACCGACATTTTGATCGGAATCGCAAATTTCGAGTAGTAATTAATGGTGGAGAATTGGGCCCCAAGCCTCTGTAAAGGTAAGCTCACACCTGGCAAGGAAAGAGAAAGAAGCAACCCGTGTAAAACTTCCCAGGAGAAAGGCGGCAATTAATTAGCCCCCTACTCCAATTTAATGGAGGAGGAGCACCAACATTTCTCGGCAACCTCCCGCCGCTCGCCCCTCCGGCGCTTCGCCCCCAAGCCAGAGAAGTTTTCTCCTCCAAGCGGGAAGAGGGAAGGATCTGCTCTCAAGGGTTAACGCTGAGCGGCAGAAACCCCGCGTGCGGCTGCCCTTCCTTCACGCTCCCTCGCTCCGGTGGGAGGAAAGGAGCCGAAGAATGCCAACGGAGAGCCCGGCCCGCTCCTTTCCCGCTCGCGGCGTCCCTCTTTTCCTGCCTTCCATCACACACAGACACAACCCTCCTGGCTCTTCGAACCTCTCCAAAGAGAGTCAGCTCAAGTTACGACCGACGGTTTATTGTTCCTCGTCCTCTTTTGTGTTCCGTTCTGAAGCGGCACCGGGCAGAGTTTCACCTCCGGGGCTTCCCCCTCCCTCCCCTCCTCCCCTCCCGGGATTTGCTCACGGCGCTTTCACGCCGAGTTATCTTCCCGCACTTCCTTCTTCCGCGGCATTCAACGCCTAAAGACTTCGGGAGGGACGAGACCGGGAAGACGGGCGACATACCTACCGCTCGCGCGGCTTTTTTTCTTTTCTTTTTGCAGCTCCAGAAAGAGAGCCTAGGGGGTGGGGGGGGGGAAGCAGCCCTGACGACCGAGTCCTTTTCCACCCACCACCCGGTTCCCTCTTTTCGGACATCGCAGCCACGTGAAAAACGAGCAACCCCCGTTCCACCTCCCCAGCCGCCCCTCCCCCAAGAGGTGCGGGATGAAGCCAGTTTTGCTTAAAATAACGCGTCCCACCAGGAAACGCTTACCTTGAGATGCTTTCCCCCCCCTATTGCCCCATCCTTAGCTCCTCTATGGGCGTGGGAATATTGAGGGGGGGGGCTCTTGCTTTTCTATAGATACAATTTCGCCGCACGATAAGGAAAAAAATGGTTAGGAATCCTGTCAGGTCATGTGATTGATTGAATTATTTCCACCCCTCTTTTCCTCCTAAGCCCCCCCTCCCCCCCCGCGTTTTAGGACAATACTCGGCAGCTTTTTTTCATTATGTCAGACAAAAATGGCTGATGACAGAGAGGAGGAGCGCGGCTGCCGTTGCCGGGGAATGCTGGGCTCTCCCCGCCGCTCCTCTGGCTGCGGAGGCTGGAGGCGCGAGGCACCCGCGGAGGTCGATTAGGGTCTGGTATCTCACAGTCATGCCTTGAAGTGTCAGAGAGCAACTCTTCCTGATTCCTCCCTCTCCCCCCCCCCCCTTCCTCCTTTTTCCTGCTTCTCCAGGCAAAAGGAAAAGTCTATGCGGAGAAAAGCCGAGTCTTTGAGAGCCACCCAGCTTCGTTTCAATGGGGATAGGGAGCAGACTGCAAATTGCACCCCTTTTGAAAGAGAGCTGACAAATGTCCTCCACAACTTGAAGCCCGGAATTTTTTAAAAATGCAATATGGGATCGATTCTATTAGGGTCGTTATTCTACCCATTTAATCTATCCATGCTATTCCCAGCAGCTCCTGTCCTCTGTATGTACTTTACAGGAACTCTGGTCCCGATACTCATTTTACAGCACCGACAGCCTTTCCCAATTTGTAGTTCTCCATATTAAACGTTTCATCTCCAATATTCATACTGATGCTGGGTGGGGGTTAATGGCAGTGAAAGTCCAATGAGAAGAGTCCCAAAGGGCACTGGACTTTATTTCTAATTGTTGCATCCATGCCTTCAAAGTGTATCACATCATCTGTACAATTGTAAAGCATTTCCTATTATAAATGGAAAAAGAGCCACGTGGTTCCAATTTGAAAACTTCAAGTGACAGTTCTTATTTAACAACTATTAATTTTCTCCCCAACAACTGTCCTTGTCCTTTTCTGTTTTAACAGAGAACAAAGGTCCACTCTCCTCCACTACACCTTTATAAATTCTAATCTTTTCAAAAAAATATTTTACACATCTTCAATAATAAATGTGGGAAAATTTAATAAATTATTGAAATCCAGCGCCATGTTTTGCCACATGAGGACCAACAGAAGAGAAAAAAAATATTTCAGATTATTTCTCACAATCCATCATGGCATAAACATAGTAGGTCCATCACATCCAGCCAATGCTCATGTTGTCTTTAAAAAGCTCAGGCAGTGGTGTGAAGTTGGGAAAAACTAAATCCCAGAATTAGAGAGAAACACTAATACTTTTGCCCCCCAATAGGAACCACAATTACTTCAGGCAAAGTAAAAAGCATTTTATTAAGGGGGAAGGGGGAAGTCTTTATATAGGGTACAGAAACAAGTAATACATGCACAGTGTATAAGTGATGCACCAGCAAATTAATAAAATAAATTGGTTAGACACAAGAAAAGATAACATCTCCCCTTTTCTCATTCACACTTGTTTCTTTAACACTTGCGATTGACAGACTTCGGAATACAGCCCTATTTTTTACTTTCTGAATAAGTTAGTTTTTGCACAACAATGGGGATGGTTTTGATTAAAGTAAAAAAAAATTTTTTTTATTTTTTTTTATTTTTTTTT